TTTTGAACTTCCACAACCTTTCAGCTTTGAAAACCAGTAAATAGAAATCAAAACCAACAATGGTTAAAGTTGGTTTTTCTAAATCCTCTCAAGGAGAAACATAAGGCACCAAAGGGGAAAGGATTAGAAGGCAATAACATAATCAATAACAAAGAGTTCATTGATAATCACGCTTCCGTTTAACCGTTCATCAATGGATTCAGGTATGTCATTTTGTCTTGATTTCTTGATAATACACATGGTAAATGATCCAAAGTGTAAGGTTTATGTTCTGAAATTTATGTTTACACCAAAAGCCTCTCTTGCCTTTAACCAAAACCCAATTTTTTTTTTCTCTGTTTGTGTTTTCTATGATTATTATTTATTACTTTTCTAAAGTTTTTAAGTTCCATGCAAATGACTTTTTTTTTCTTTTCGTATTCATATTGCAAAAGCTTGGAGCATTCTTTGTATCACATAATTAGTATGAAATCCTGTAGGCCTCAAAAACTGGAGAAAAAGGCAAGTTGGGTTCCATGTGAGTAGAACTCATAGGCATGTTCTTTCCAACAAAGCAATCACCTTACTAAATAAAATTATAATAATTTTAACAACAATTAAAATAAACAATGTTTTTTTTACGAAGGTAGGTCCGCAGATAATGTCGCTTGTAGTATGTGCTTCTCAAATTCATTGTACTATGCTGAAAATTATTATGCTGCTGCATATGGAGATGTTATAGTATCTTCGACTATGCTCAAATATTATTGTGCTGCTGCACATGGTGGTCAACTAAGAAATGCAAAACAAACGTATAAAGATGTTCTTTTTCCCCTAATTTGATCACAAATCTATGGAGCACACCAAAAGATTTTATCAACAAAACAATTTGCAGGGATAATTAATTTTAAGCAGGGATTTCTTGATAAATATATATTATAATACATTTAAACCACTACATGACAAATTTATTTTGTAATTCCAACAAACACACTATTCAGTCTATTAAACAAATACATAAAGTGCACAGTTAAGACTAGTACCAGTAACCCAAGAAACCCACATTGAGGACGACTATATCATACATACATTTGAGCAGAAATGGAGAGAAAAATTAGGGCAGAGATGAATTGTCCATCTTCTGATTTCGTTTCTGACGCGTTAATGTGCCTCGCTGCCTGGTCTTTCTCATCACAATCAGCCCGTTCGAGATCGCCGTTGTCACGCCCCACTTTTTATTACTCAGTGCACAGTTAAGACTAGTACCAGTAACCCAAGAAACCCACATTGAGGACGACTATATCATACATACATTTGAGCAGAAATGGAGAGAAAAATTAGGGCAGAGATGAATTGTCCATCTTCTGATTTCGTTTCTGACGCGTTAATGTGCCTCGCCTCCTGGTCTTTCTCATCACAATCAGCCCGTTCGAGATCGCCGTTTTGACGAGTCCGACGATAGTCCTTTGTAGACAAAGGTTCTGAAACAGTTGAGGGGAGTGTAGGGTCTGGATTTGAATATATGGTTTGTGGAGGGATTGGAGAAGATCGAAGGTAGGGTTAGGGTTTTGGATCTGACGACGAGAGTGGAGAAGATGAAGTAGACGACTGGTGAAGAGAATAGGAGAAGAGAGAGAGGGCGGTGAGGGAGGAGGTGTGGCGGCGGCAGTGGTGGTCGCCGATGGCGGCACCAGACGTAGGAGGCGAGGAGGCGGAAGAGATAAAAGAGAGGAGAGTGAGAGGGAGTGTTAGGTTAGGAGATGGAGAAAAGGGGGGGGGGGGGGAGGGGGGGAAAATGAATGAAATTTTTTTTGTTTTTTTTTTTTGTAGTTAATGATTTTTTTAGGTTACTAAGGTTCAAAATTTATTTGTTTCATTTTTATTTTACTAAAAAAATTTATTACTATTTTTTATTTGGTAGAAGTAGGGGTAATATTTTAATTAAAAATATTTTCTGTTAAAATAAAGTTAATTTTTTGTGGTCAGTGGAAAATATTTTTTTGCAGCCCATTTTTTTTTTTGTTACTATAAATTACGAACTAATTTTTTGTAGCAGAAGAGAGGGTGCGGTAGTAGTGGTGAAGGTGGTGGATAAAAAGTAATGACAAAGTAGATTAGTGGTGAAGTTGTGGTAGTGGTAGAGGAGATGGAGTGACGGTGGTGGAGGAGAGGTAATGGTAGTAGTGCATTTTCTTATAGTGGGTCGCTAAAAGTGTTAAGCGAGAGAGAGAGAGACAAAGTGGTCGTTAAAAATGCATTTTCTTATAGTGGATCGATAAGTCCAGAGGGAGCTTGGTAAGTAGAAAAGAGGGGAGGGATAAAGTGAGCAAGGAAAACACAGAAACATATATTTGCAATTGATCAAAGAAACATAAATGTGAAGTACCAACACAAAATACTCTTCGAATTACCAAATCTGGAAATTAACATATGCCCAGAACAAAATATGGTGGCTAAGAGAGAAAGAGGAAGATATTAGGGCACGATGGTAGGAAGCAAGAGAGGATGAAGAGGGACAACAAAAGCAATGAAAAGCGGGCTTACTGGTAGGATTGGCTGGTGGTAGCGATGGGTTGTGCGAATGTGGGGACTATGGCGACAGAATGGGGTTCCACTGTATTCAGAGAGACGGTGCCAACGGTGGCATGGTGCCGTAGTGATTACAGGGCGATGAAGGTGCGTGAGGTAGAGATTGCTAAGAGAGGGAGTCGATTTGTGAGAAATTAGGTCAAAGAATAAGATCTAGAGAAATAAACATAAATCAACTTACCTGGTCAGAATGAAATACTCTAAGTTCGTGAATCGGCAGTGTCGACTTTGGATTTCGGGCAGTACAACGGTGGAATGAAGCAACAAAATCGTTCGTGAGGGAGGAAGAATGAGAAGAAGTAGTCGTGTGAGAGAGAGGAAGAGAAAGAGACATGAGAAATGTAGGAGGGATTAGGGGCAAAACTTGGAGGGTCCCAAATTTTGAGAGGGAATTTCAAATTAACGTAAAATTTTGGTAATTACACACATTATACGATTAATTAGACATCAAATTAATTAAGAAAATTAAATTATCGTTAGCCAATTTAAATGATAGTGACAATCACTTTTTTGCCAATGAATCCATTGATGACATCTCTCTTTAAGTCGTAAGTTTTCCATATACTCGCTAGTTCATCTTTGCCTTTAATTTTGTAATTTTTATTTCTTTAGTAGAAATTTCACTTTTTTAATAATTTCACCTAAATAGTAAGGTTAAATTTCACTATTTGAAGATAATGAAATTTCACTACTTGAAATGATGGTATGTTTTATGATAACAATAACAAGGATAATAAAGGTGGTGGTGGTGGTGCTGACAGTGACAGTGACGGTGATGATGGTTGCAGCAATATTAGTGATGATTGTAGCAATTGTGAGGTTATAATAATGTATGTTGATGCTTGTGTATAAATATTTACAAATTCAGTCAGCATTAAACAATTATGTAATTTTATGTGAGAAATTCGTCGTAATTTAAATGAATTTTATCCTACAAACTCAAATTCAATTATAATTGGATTCGAATGGATTGGACAAAGGGTACCGCCTCTTACAACAACACCGCAAAATTATGATAATAAATTTTAAATAATATATACTTTGCAAAAAAAATATAAAAATTATTATTTAGAATTATCTTCACACTATGAAGCATGGGTATAAAAATTATCATTTAAAATTATTTTGACACTATGAATTATCTTCAAACTAGTCACACACTATAAGAAATTGCACATTTGAAAACTAATTTTTTAATCGTTAAAAATCTTTTTTAGTCGACTAATAATTTAGTCGCCATAATTTTTTTTATAAATTTATTTTGAACTTTTATCGACTAAATTTTTAGTCGTAGATAAATTTTATCACTACTATGTTTTATTTAGTGATTAAAATATATAGTCGCCAATTCTTTTTTCCATTATCGGTGACAAATTAATTTTGTAGCCAAACATCTAATTGACTCCTTTAGCTAGCAACCAAACTTTTTTGTAGGCAAAAGATTGTAGCTTTTTTGGTGACTAAATGTTTAGTCGTAAAAAATATCGACAGTTTTTTTGATGACTAAATTTTTAGTAGGCAAAAACTTCAAATTTTTTGGGCTACTAAATATTTAGTCACCAAATAAAATTTATTTTTCATCTTATTTTTTTTTACTACAAATTATTTAGACACCAAAAAATATTTTCTTTCTTTTGGCTACCAAATATTTAATCGCGAAGAAGCCTTTATTTCCTTTTGGCTACGAATTGGTTAGTCGCCAACAACTTCACTTCTTTTTAGCTACTACATGTTTAATCGTAAAAAACTTTCTTTAGTTTTTATTTTTATTTTTATACATATATATTTATTTATTTCGCCACAACCTGTATTTATTCTATGCAACCTGTACCTTGTATATAAAGAAAATAATAACAATCCAAGAAAATTTAACTTTTAACGTCAAATTCGAAATATAATAGAAATTATGGGGGGTGACGAAAGGGGGCGTGACAAAAAGTATTTACGACAGTTACAAACCGTCGCTTTCTTATAGTGACGGCTAATCAATGGTTTTTGCAACGGTTTAACCTAATACAAAAAAAGGGAAAAAAACTTCATTCTTAGTGACAAAGTTGATTTCCGTTGCAAAAAGTATTATTAGCGATGGTCTAAAACGTCACCAAAAAAGTAAATTAAATTAATACCATATTTGCGACGGTTTAAACTGTTGCAAATAAATCTTTTGCGACAGTTTAAACTGTTGCAAATAAATCTTTTGCGACAGTTTAAACCGTCGCAAAAGATTGGAACTAATATGTATATGCGATAGGTTAACCCGTCGCTAATAAAATATAAGGAAATGATGATTACATTAGCGACGGTTTATTATTGTCGCAATAAAATTATTTTCATAAAATCATATTTTATTAATTCATTCCCGGTACAAATTATTAATATTTTCTAAAATACAATACATCCACATCTACATCAAGATTCACATTCAAAAAATCTTATACCAAGGCACTGACCGGACAACTTGGATCATTGTCACCCACAATGAACAATACAGGCACCTTTATATTAGCAACGACAGATGGGTCAATTCTTGTCCCATAGAATGAAACCCCAATGCCAAAACAGGCACCCCTGTCCTGGGCGAGCGCATCTATTAGTTGGCCACTTCCAAAGCAGAATCCGATGATACCAAGCTTCTTTGAGATTCCTGCAGCTACAAACTCATCCATCATCCATTTTTTCGAGGTTGTAATGTCTTTTGCAATCCTTTCAGGGGTTTGTTGTGCCAGCCATTCTTCAAATAAAGTCTTTGGTCTGTCCTTTGCCCATGGATCCCCACGAAACAAGTCCGGTACTAGTACACTAACAATATTTATTTCAAGAAAAACACCAGTAAAAATTATATAAAGGATCATTTTAAGAATCGTTAACAACGTTGACAAAGATATGGAAAGACAAGACAACATGGATATCAATGCATAGACCAGCAGCATTAGATACAGAATGCTCAAGTTTGTTCAGGTGCCAAAGGCATAAAACCGTAAATGAAGCCTTCTTAAAAATTTATTTCAAATATATTTTTCTTTTATGTTGAAATGCAAAACAAGTTTGTTCAGGTGCCACAGGCATAAAAAACTTAAATGAAGCATTTTTAAAATTTTATTTGAAATATATTTTTCTTTTATGTTGAAATGCAAAATTACTAATTGCATTCAAGTTTAAAACTTTCAATTCCCAAAACGAATTGAAACTAGCAGTATAATATTTTTTAAAAAAAAATCGAGATTAAGATACCTCTCCCTACTTTTTTAATTGTTAGTGTGATCACAAATGGAAAATCTTATTTGCGTAGCACTGAGGCCACTTCTGACTAGATACATGTATGCCCTATTCCCAGTGTATCAAACATCATCTAATACAAGTGTCTTTGGTAGTTGTAGTGTAGTACAAATGTATTTTCACACATGATGTCTAAAAATCAGGAAACATACTTGTAACCGTTGCAGGCAACACGATATACGAAATCTCTAGTGGATGAATCCTCAAATCCTAAGATATCGGACAAGAACAAGAAGCCGGTTCCATTGTTGTTCTTCACTGCCGTGAAAAGATAAGCAAGGATGCTGTCATCTCCCTCCCCTATCGAAATCTCAACTCCATTGACTAGCTCACAAGCCTCATCATTTATACCGTCTTCAACTTCCACTGGGCTGCGAGATACTTTACAAGCCATAGATTTTATAAAACATAACGAGGGCAGGCGAGGATTTGAAATTGCAGATTCTCTGGACAATAACTGAAGCCTTTATAGTCAAAATTTTCAATTATGAATAACAACTTTTTAGCAAGATAACATATAAAAGGCAGAAAGAAGGCATTTGTTTTAAGTGAAATACTCTTATGTGCTCTACTTCAAGCATAAAATGCAAATCCAAAATATACATATTTGACCAGACCAATTATGAATAAGATATATAAATATTCCATTTTACAGCCAAAAAAAGACAACAACAAGTAAACAACATATGATTGGCACTCCTATCGTTTTCTTCTGTAAATTGTAGAACTAGTTTCCTTTACTTGTTTACAAGTGATCTAGGTATGGCTATAAGAAGAAAAAGTTCACTTGGGTTCGAATGATAACAAATTAAATTGATAAATATACCAAATTATCACGACACATAATTTACATGTTGAAACATCATTTATTTTGCAAGCAACATGTCACTGGGATGGGATGGGAAATGTTGCAGTTACCATTTAAGAAATACATTTTCGGGTCAACCTTGGTCATGGAAACTCTCTCTTTATACATCAATTTTTCTCACCATATCATGCCAAGCAAAATATACCAAATTAAAACCATCAAAGGTCGTATACCAGAAACGGAATGAGGCCATTCACCCTATATATGAGTATGATGAATAAGACATGGCAAAGGATTTCAATGGTTAACTGAATGTAAACTATGGTTGGCTATTTTTACCTAATTAAGTGAAGGGTAAGGTCACAAATCATAATTTTTGTAAGTTTCAAAATCAAGAATAGACCATTTTACATTTCTAAAGATCAACAACATAAAGCATCCATCCAACCAAAAACTCAAATATGGGAGCTCTTACTATTAAGATGGTGGTCTAAAGAGAGAATTTGTTCCCCACAAATCCTTTTGCTTGGGATCCTTGATGTCCATTTTGCAAATGACGCTAATAACGGTGCCACATGTAACGTAAGCTTCAAATTTCCAAATGTGTTGACATTGAAACTTCTATGGATCTTTTAGAACACCGAAATGTCATTCTATTTTCCTTGTACACGAATGTGCTTAAATTATCAAAATTACCACTTAAAACTTTATTCACATATAGAAGCTACATTTCACACACACCAACCATGAACAAATTAGGTGGAGGGGGCGGGGGGAGGTGCTATGGCAGAAGGGTCAATAAACATGACAATAATACCAGATACATCTACCTTGCTTACTAATGATTCTAATCTGGCTCATTCCTCAGCCCACAACCACTTCCCATCCCCAACCCTTGCCCAAATCTTGACTCATACATAAATTTGAGTAAACAACCACTAAAACCCCTCCACTCCTTTACTCAAACCTATACCAACTTGAGTTTCATTCAAATTTTGACTCAAATCAAGGGAGACTCATTTTCATTACTCAAATTTATATCCAATCAAAACTTGACACATAGGTGCATTTACCCAAATTTTCCAAATTCTCCTTTACTCCGACTCCTAGCATCCACTCAAAACTTAACACTAGGTAATTTTACTAAAATTTGATTTTATCAATTAGAGTGTTTCATATCAAATGAAGCCTTTTACTCAAACTTTTAGTCAATTTATTTATGTTTATTTTTATCTTTATTGATTTTTTTTTTGCTGATTACAGAGTGATTCTTTAAAACAAAAAAAAAAAACAAAAGAAAAAAACAAAAGGTGTAGTATCATTTAATTAATTCAAGATTCACAACTGAATCAACCCAAACTATAAGAACCAGATCACTAATATAATAAGCACGAATCTCAATAACCCGTTAATATTTCTTCAAAAATCTGAACAATCAATAAAAAAAAACAATTTTAATAATAATAATAAAAAAAAGCAATGGAAACAAACTTACAGAAAAGGGAAGCTGAGGAGAAGCAAAAGTTGAAAACAAGTGAGGGTGGTGATGGTTGAGCTGCCTTGTAAGTAAGATTGGAGCCGAAAACAAGGGTGATGATGCCAACCCCATAGCCATATCCCTCTACTCTTTTACTCTAAAAATGGTTGCAAAATTCAACTGAAGAATGTAAAAAACAAACAAGTGGAAGCTGATGAATCATCATTATCCATTACAAATATCTAACGGATATTTATTGTGGTTCTTTTTCAAGGATTTAAATCAATTAAATTTGGGCCTCAAAATCATATTCCCCCAAATCACCCCCATTGTGTGGTTGGGGGCCCTAGTTGGTCATGGGTTAACCCGACCCGCCTACTGTTTGTCTTATTTTTATTTATTTAGAAACTCTCAATTTTAGTTTAAAAAAGTCAAAAAAATCACTAAAAAAAATCAACTACTCTCTTTATTTATTTATTTTTTGTATGTTTTTCTATAAAAAGTAAAAAAAAAAACACCAAAAAAGTAAATTTCGAAAACAAATCTTAATTTTTTCTAGTGTATAAATGTTATGGACCACAAAAAGATACCACTAAAAAAATTTACTTTATTTGTTATTTTGAAATAATATATTTGGACCACTAAAGAATAAAAAAATTATACAAATGCCTAGTTGTTCGAAATAAAAATGACATGTGAATTTTGTCATAAAATAGTATTTGTAAATATTTCATTTTGACTAGTATAATACTTGTCCCATCACCGGATCATTGCTACTAGTTGTCAAAGAAAAGAGACAGTATATTACTACTATCTGTCAAATAGCATAAATCACTATTTGTTTTTCCAACCAGAATATTACTTTGAAAACATAGAAAATTAAATACAATGAAGATACCAAAAACAAAATGTAAATCTGTCTTAAGATTGTTGGACAATCTTCACTGTATTTAAATAGATTAAATTCTGTTGTGTACAAAACAACAACAAGAATAAAAGAAATAGATAAAAGGAGAAAATTTGTTTGATTACAAAAATCAAACTCGAAATAATAATAAATAGATAAAAACCACAGATTTTATTTTGTTACAAAAACAAAAACAAAATCTGATTAAATAAACAAATAAAAAACAGAATAAAATAACAACTTACTTGGTTAATTTATTTGAATAACTTTTCTGATCAAGTCCAGTGTTTAACACTGTGTCCTTAAGACAGATTCGTCCTCTCCACGGTGCTTTCAGAATTTGGACGTCTATCTCCCAGGATGAAATGATCTTACCACAAACAATAGCAGCACTACAAATTGTTTGCCTTACGAACACACTAAGTGTTTATACTCTTTCTTTCGGAAATAAAATGCAGCAAGATGGTTTGCAGAATTATGAAGGACGAAAATTAGAGTTATCAAAATCCAAATGAGGGTTGTCCTATTTATAGATGGAATGGTGGCTCTAGGTTTTTGAATTGAACAGGTATGATACCTGTTGGTTTTGAATTCAAACAGATAGCAAAACGGGAAGGGCTCTGTTTGGATGAGCAATAAATCCAAATTAGTTTAATTTGAATTCTGGCCCAAAAAGATTAGAAGCCCAACCCAACCACACACCCCGCACCCGCGCCCAGCCCAGCCCAGCCCGACCGGACGGACGGCGGCGCGCGCGCGTGTGGTGATTTTTGGGTCCAATGGGTCTAGCCCATTTTGCCCATAACCTCTCCCTCTAAAACACTTGGGTACCCCTTGGGGCACACCCCAAGTATCTCACCCTAAGCCTTATAAACCCTTTCAAAACTTCCCACCAAATCAATGTGGGACAAGCCAATTTACAACCTTAAGAAATTTCCACCAAAACTCCATTTCCATGGAGCACACTTTGGCTTCAATTTCCCATTCACTCGGTAATGGTTTTGAGCAACCAAATATACCACGTGAATCACAACGCGGCATAGAACGCGTTACCACTTTGACCCGAGTAAAACGACACACGGGGCCCACCTAAAAAATAGACCGAACTTAGGAAAAAATTCTGGTTTTATCCAGAATTTTATAACCATTTCCAACAGTGATAATGGACAGTCATATAAGTTAGATATGAGAACCATATGGGTAACTTTTTCCCATAGAACTGGAAATACTTTACATAGCATTATTATGCCTGGACTTTGAGTAGTTTGACATATTACCATGATTTAGAGGCATTATTGACATAATATGCAGAAGAATGAGATAAAATATGAGATGAAAAGTTCACAGACATGTAGATGAGATCAAAAATATCATCCTACTGAATTCCCATAAATGAATGAGGCAAAGCAAATACCAAAGTTAAAGCAGATATGCCATCTAAAGGCACCACAAAAGTTGTCAAAATAAGCCTAATGTTGCCTGTCCACAAGAGGATAATAAAATCATGAGTAGAAATACTGATATAGCGTATAACAGAGAATTCATATATCTCACAAGAATCAAAGCAACTAGTCATAAACATAATATAACTCACCCAAAACTGGACCGCCGATACCCCTCATACACATAGTTACATATAAGAACATATATGTTGAAAACCCAGAGAATAAATGGAAAATACTTTCTGTCCCAGAGAATAAATGGAAAATACTTTATGTGTCCAAATATCTGCAGAAACAAAAATTTGACATAAACTTGTCACTGTACCTTAATGTCCAATAGAAAATTCTGAATTTAGCGAAACTTGAAAATAAAATTTAACATATCCAAAAAAACAATTATACCAATTATTATTTGTTTATGAGTAATGCTACAATGACAATTTATTTCTACCATCATATCTCACCATATGATATGTCAGTCTGTCAGCATTACATTGGAGATATACGCAAGTTGTGGGTCCCATTAAACCAGTATTGTGTTGACAAGATGGTAAGAATAATATGGTATACAAATGTGGGAAGTGTAGCAATATTGTTTGTTATAATATTTACATTAACAGTTTATCATTCTATCTGTATCTCTTCTGAAAGACCATATAGGAATTTTCTATATTTCACTACCATTTCCATACATTCAAAACTTTTTCAACATTAATAGTTCCATAAATCTTACCATGCCAGTTTGCGGCCTGTTTTTACAACTTACTTATTTTTGGTCTATGTAAATCAGAGATAGTCTCTGTAAATCATATGGTGTGCTAACGATTTGTAACAATAGGCCCATGTGGCATTCAACATGAAGTTCTGAACTACAATTTGAAGTCCTTCTAGGAAAACCAAGCTTTAAGTAGTATCTTAACATTACAATGAGTTCATATCATTTAGATTTAGAATTGTCTTCCTATTTGAATTTTTTTGTATAAAATTCATGAAAATGGGAGCTGGGACGCAATTTTAGAAATTAGGTGCCTTATACATTTGATAGCTCCTCCCTTCTGTAGCAATAAGGCATATAGGTTTAGGGTTAGGAAATAAGTCTATATAAAGGCCTAAACAAAAAAATGTTAAAAGGGATGACGACATTGGAGTTCATTAAACTGTCAAAGATTCTTTTATCTCCATCATCTCCATTTTCTATCTTACATCAAGATACATGGAAGTCACTTTTGCACCCTTCTTGGAACTCTTTTTTGCCTTGCTCAATTTCCTCTTTCTCCCTCTTAATTCCTTTTCCTTCTCTTTCAGTTCTCTTAAAGTTTACAACCCCAGACGAGGTTTAATTCATGTAGCTAAATAAAAGTTTCAATTGACAAATCATTTCTTGTCAATTCCAACTTCCAAGTAGTCCAACTTTACGAAAGGTAATAAATTCTGTACACATTACAAGCAAATTCAAGCATCAATTATTAGTAGTGACATGTGAATATCTTGTACATAGTCTAAAAATGATCAATTAAAGAGATCCTTAATTTTTACCCCAAAAGAAAAGAAAAAAAAATGTTTCAATCACCAACACTGGTAGAGGAGAGAAGAGGAGAAACTAATTTGAATTCGCAGAAGGAGATGACTTTTGAGAAACTCATCATATCACGGTTTAGTCAAAACAAATACCCAAAAATATACCGAGATAATCAAGAGAAGGAACCAAAAAAACTGCAGAATTGAACAATTCCAATAGATTAAATGATGAAATCGAAAGTTCATGTAATCATAAATACCAAAGAAATCAATCAATTTGAAAGGTAAGAATCGACTTATATGTATATCTCAAAAGGAAAAAAGAAAAAATTGGGGAAAACATACCTGAAGCAGTCTCCATGGTTTACCTTGAAGTTGTGAAACCCTAGAGAAGGAGAGATGAATAATTTAGGCAGTAACAGAGGGAAGAGAAACCTGAGAGAGAAACACGAATAGAGACATAGAGAGACGTAGGGAGAGAGAGAGAGAGAGAGAGAGGATTATAGGGATGATTTTTTGTTACGGATAACAGAGAACTATAAAATATATGTGGGCTGTGACCGAAGTGGAAGTTGCTGCTGCTGCTGCTACAAGCAGTCCGTGAGGGTAACGCGAAAGCAAGAGAGAGAGAGAGAGAGAGAGAGAGAGATTGTTAGGGTCTGTGTGAGCAAGTATGAGAGGAAAGATGAAGAGAGGAGAGGAGGGTTACCTGGAACTCTTCCCACACTGGAGGTGTTGGGGATGCGAGAGAGAGAGACGATTGGGAGCGAGAGAGAGTAACAGTGACGATTGGGAGAAGATTGATGGTTTTTTTTTTTTCCTTTTTTTTCTTTTTCATACAAATATAGATCACACTAAAACTATTAAGCATAAGTAGGGAAGAGTGGGAAAAGAGGGAGGACAAAAATAGAACATTTTGCGATGGAGGAATAAAAGGAGTCGCAAAAAAATTAAAACAATTGCAAAAAGAAAAAAAAAATGCATAACAAATTGTCGCATATAATACTATTTTTTGCAATGGTTTTAGATTTTCCGTCGCAAAAAAATTAAATTGACGACGGCTTCATTTGCTGTGGCAAAAACATGATTTTTGCGACGATTTTCACACCATCGCAAAAGGTTCCATGTCCAATACTCCCTTTTCTAGTAGTGTATGTCCCAATAGGTCGTACTGGTCACGAGCAAGCTGCCGGTGACATCCCTAGAGTGGTTTACGCACTGTTTCGTATTTTTGCCCCCTCTTAACGCCTTTTTTCAACTAAG